CTGATGCTAAAGTCATATTGTGTCGTAGTCAATGCTGTCATTCCTCTGTTCTTTGTTTGGGGTTCATCTTGCCTTTCTAAATCTGTTATTCAGACATCGTCAACTCTATATTTTTGTCTTTCGTTTTAGCATCCTGAATATTAAAGTTCCATTCATTTTACTACTGTTGATGTTCTCTGTTCTTCCTTCGAGATGAGGGAAAATCTTGGAATCTTTAGTATGAAGTTATATGTTGTCATAGCTGTTGATCCGAGAGCATAAGTGGTCATTTTCTTCTTGATTAAATTCCATGGCCGTCTTGTTTTGTATTGCGAATGTGTAACCACCTATTTGGTTTTTATTCCTCTTCGTCTTTAGCATGTTTCCATAGTTCTGTTGAGTGTATTTGCCATCTGCTTATTCTAGTTTGAAGCTAAATGATTATAATGATTTCGTTGGGTTGTTTTGAAAGGGGTTCATGTTTCTTATATATATATATATATATATATATATATATATATATATATATATATATAAATGCGGACTGAGCATCAATACTACTCTTTTCAAATGTTAAGTCATACTCGTTTTTTTTTTTTCCGAGGATTTGCTTTCGACTATAGTTTTTTTTTTTTTTTTTGTGCGTGTGTTTGGAGGTCGGCATTTGGTTTTATACCAGCCTAGTTTTACATATCTCTTTCACTTTCATAGAAACCTTCGATGTTATAGCTCTACTTATCGGATTAAGTTTTAAAAAAAAAAAAAAAAATGAAATGCATCTTTGGTCTTCTCAAATTTGTTCCATGTTTTCTTGGTTTCTTTTTAAATGGTATAGTTGATTAAAATAGCATTAGTTTAGTTCGAAATTTCCTTAATACCGTGTTGCTATTTATTCCATCTCACATCTTATAACTCGATATTATTTGTCTTGGATTCTTTATGGCTTTTATTTCGAAAGTTTTGCCTTGCTATCGTGCCAATTTCGTGCTTGTTGTTTGTAGCTGCTTGAGAAAACACAAACGACCACTTTATATATAAAAAAAAAAAAGAGTTAAAGTCAACAATGGGTTGTTGTTTGAATAATTGACCTTTAGCTTATTTTGCTCAAATTTTAAGTCACGTATGTTCCCTTCTTTTGTCATATTTGTGGGGACCTCTTATTCCTATACATTGTTATTTATTTATCATTTATTTTGGGCTAAATTCTACCTGCTATATTTTGTTTTAAGAGTTCAAAAGGTATTAGGAGTGTTTTCTTTCCGAGCTACTGACTATAGGATAGTTAGCAAGTCTCATTAAAGTCATCTAGATTCTTGCTTAGCGTAGCTTATTTTGAGTGTATGTCGATTACATGAGAATTTTAAATTATTTACTTAGTTATAGCTTTGAGACATTATTTTCGAATACTAATCCTTACCATCATTTTGTTGCATGTGATACCATCCGAGTCCTCTTGGACTCCGATCTTCTTTCCCTCATATTTCGAGAGAGCCATAAAGGCTCAAATTCCTTTGTCGAGTCAACCGGCCATTTAAAGTCGATGAACAGGTCCCGGAGTTGAAAGGACACGCAATAATTTGGAGAATTGAAAATTGGGCCAATCTTAATTTCAGAAGATTGTATTTTGTTATTTTTTGGGCTTAAGCCTTTGTTATTTTAATTTCATCTTATTAGTATTTAGGACAGGTGGAAGACGGGCCTGAGGCCCAAAGAAATAACTTTTATGTTAGTTTAGGACAGGTGCAGATAACACAAATGGGCCGGAGGCCCAAAACAAAAATGGACCCAAATACTGGTCCAGGCGGACAGAAACCAGATTTGGGTCCAACTCCCTTTCCCTCTTTATTTTATTATATTTGTATACTTGTTAATATTTGCCGTTGACCTTAAGGTCGAAAAATTCAAATCCCCGAGAGACGTTCATTTTGATTTAACAATTTAACTAAACCGATCATCTCTTACAAAACTTAAGTATAAGTTTACAAAATATTTCGCTTAGATGAATATTTCTGCATTTTATTTAAAATGGTCCTAACTAACAAATAGTTCAAATTTTGCAAGTTAAAATTATTTTAGCCAAATAAATTAATTGTCGGATAACCGCATTAGCGGATATTCTAGGTGCTTTAAAAAACCTTCCTAGAATATTAATAAGAACCTCGAACCCCTTTTTTAAGTTTTCATTAGATTCCTGTTTTAGTCTTTTGAAAACAATAGTTTTCTTGATTTTTCTTAAAAATTAAGTGGCGACTCTTAAACCAGTCCAAATATATTATTTCTAAATAAAACAATATTTAAACATGTAATTAGCTAAATATTTATAATAATTTAGGCAAAATGATATTTCAACTTTCAACTTTTTTTTGTTCCCACTTTTAGTATATATATATGATATGATGATGATGATTAAATATTAATTTTTTCATAAAAGATTGAAGGTTGAAATTTGAGTTTTTAAAATGTGAAGTTGTGTTTGAACATGCATTAAATTGGATTAAAAGTTTTTTGTTAGTGAAAGTTCAAAATTTTGAAAACAAATTTTCTAAAATTACTCCCAAAATCTTTTATTGAAATATATTGGATGATCAGCATACATAATATGTTGCGGACTAAATTAAACTTGAAATGATCTAAGTAAATTCATAGCACACTAGAATGAACTAAAAAAACAACAATGTATCCTTAACCAAGTGAAGGAAATTTCCACTCGCCATCAGACCATTCCTGATGAAACCTCAACTTATCAGCAGAATACACAATCTCCTGCTTTGTAGTAGGAAAATAGACACGATACTCTTGTTCAACTTTGGCAGTGATAACCCCTATCCACCAGCCCTCATTGTCATACACATCAACGATATCGTAGGTTTCCATTGGCTTTGTTTCACGTGGAATTTCAGGTGGAACAGGACGGAGCTCAGAAGCACGTATAAACCACTCTAGTGGCGTGGTTTGATCATTATCACTCACGAGAGTCTTGTACTTGACTCTGTAATCACTACAAGTGCCAACAGGGTAAAGAATAGTTGCTTTGTAGTAAGAACCTAAATACCCTTTTTCTTCACTTACAACTTCAACCTCATCATTCATTTGAAATATTCTTGTTATTTCTTGTCCCTTGTATACTAGTTTTCTTATGTTCTTTGAGATCAAATTAACTCTTAATTTGTGATTTTTCTCTGCATCATTTCGTTTTGCCATTGAAACTCTACTTCTATCAAATTGATTGGAAAAAAGAAAAAAAAAAGTATGAGATATATTTTTAAGACTAAAGATCCCTAAGTTTTTATAATGAAATTTTACTTCATGGTCAAAAAGACATTTAAGGAAAAACTTTTCTCAAAATCTTTGACTAAAATTAATATTTAAATAAAAATCTTAAATACTACTCCAAAATCTATAATTTTTTTATTGACCAGATTTTACTTGATGGTCAAAATGATAATTTAAGGAAAAACTTTAAAAAGTACTCTCACAATCTATGACTAAAGATCAGTTTTTAATTATCAAATTTGACTTCATGATCAAATATATATTTGAGGTCAATATTTTAATAACTTCTCCCAAAATGTATGACTGGACCAGATTTTTATGATTAAATTTTATTTCATGTCCAAAAATGGATATTTGAAAGGAAAATTTTAAAAAATTACTTCCAAAAAATTTATGAGTGAAGACCAATTTGTTATGATCAAATTTTACTTCATGACCTTTTCGATATTTAAGGGAATTTTTTTTGAAAACTACTCAAAAATCTATGATTGATGATTAGAACTTTAAGATTGAATTTTATTTCATGGACAAATAAATATTTAAGAATTTTTTAAAAAATTTACTCACAAAATTTATGATTGAAGATCAGATTTTTTTATGATCAAACACATATTTAGAGACTTTTTTTTAAAACAACTTTCAAAATCTATGACGGAAGATTAATTTTTTTTATGATACTTTACTTTATGACCAAAGAGATATTCAAGAAAATTGTTTTAAAAATTACTTATTTTTTAAGATTGAATTTCAAAAACTATTATCAAAATCTATAATTGAAGATCATAATTTTTTAATCTGATCAAATTTAATTTTATGGTCAAACAAACATTTTAAAAAAATCTTTAAAACCCCCACTTTCCAAAATTTATGATCAATTTTTAAAAAAATAAATAAATTACTTTTAAAATCTATGGTCAAACAAATATTTACTTACAAAATCTATATGGAGATAAATATTTAAGATTTTTTAAAAATAAATAACTCCCAAAATTTATGAGTGAAGACTAGTTTTTATGATCAAATTTTACTTGAGGAAATTTTCAAAAAACTGCTCCAAATCTATGAATGAAGATCAAAACTTTAAGATTGAAATAGATATTTAAGGAACTTTTTTAAAAAACCACTCTCAAAAGTTTATGATTTTGATCATTTATGATCAAATAGATATTTAGGGGAAAAAATTAAAAATAACTTCCAAAATCTATGAGTGAAGATTAAATTTGAAATATGACCTCGTTTTAGTAAAAAGCTATGATAACATCATATGGTGTAGCAATTATTTTCAAGTGTATTTAATGTGAAAAAGATAATCAAATATTAAAACCAAAACGAGTATACTAATTAGGAAAATTACAATTAAGTTTTGTATCCCACTCAAATCATAACGATTCCCACATTCTTGTGTATTGCATACATAACAACTCACCTACTACTATTGCATAATTGTTCAATCAGTGATTAGCCTTTTTTATCAAACACCAACAAGATAGTAGTTTAGATAGTCATTTAATATCAGCCTTGATCATACTATTTTACTTTCATTAATTGTAGTCTTAGTTGAGACAACAAAAAGATATATGAAAAGAACTTGAAATCCAAAAGTTGTGTAGTATAGAGCAAAAAGAAAATACAAAAGGTAAAATTTTCACTTGAAATAAATCTATACTGTTTAACTTGTTGCACTTTCTAAATTGTGAAATCAAAGTATCATATCCACTACCTATTTCTTGATCAGCATGCAACAACAGACAAGCCCCAAACAAGGGCAAACTGAGAAAACACACATGATAGTTTGACCTAGAACATGCTGCCATGAATCTTGGTAGTTTAAAAAGACAAATGAAAATTCTCTCAAAATTCATCCCTTATGAAAGTACAAGGTAGTGTACAATCATACAACATCAGAGAAACGCAAAGTAACTCGACGAAAGCAAGAAGATCCAAGCTTCAGTTGTTCAGCACCCTGTCAAAGGGAATTTTGCTCATTTGCTGCTGATTTGTGACAATTCCAGCAGCAGCAGTTGTAAAATAACTTATGATCTTATGGGACACATTATCGGCTAATACTTCAACTTATGCCAGATATTACATGGATTGTTGAAGGCAGAAAGGACAACTCAAGAAGCTGGATGGACAGGGACCGGGACCTTATGAGCATATGACAGCACCATCACAAAATCCTTTGCTGATGAACCAGTAATAACTGGCACGCTTTCTGGTGTAGTAGTTTCAAGCCACATATCTACCAAAGTATTCACTTGCAAACTGGGGGCTATCAACTGGCCCATACATCTAATTTCAACCTACAAAACAACATAAACAGTCAGCAGAGTATAAAACTGGAACCATCATGATATGTTTTTTACATTGAAATTACTCAAGGATAACAGTCTCTCTTCTTTCTTTCTTTTCTGGATGTTGTCAGTGTCTGCCTCGACTATTCCACCGAGTACCTGCTACCTCCCACCAGCACAGGTACCAGGTAATTCTGCCCACTAAAGCTTAGGCAGATGGGAAGAAATCACCTAGTATTTTGCATCAGCTGGCATTTGAACCTCATGGTTCTCCTTCCACTTCGTTGACAACTAGGCCACACCCTTGGGTGCAATAATCTCACTTTCCCTCCTTTGAAGGATACAAGGTGAAACAGTTAGTGTACTTCCAAGAAAGACAAATGGTATCAGTCACAGTTGTCACTTACAGATGCTTCCCAGGATAACACCCACATCATAAAAACACAACACCCTGAAACTCACCTGCTTGACTTCATGTTCACTTGTGCTGAAATACAATAAACCTTTAGAAAAACCCAGTCACTGATAGACCCTAGAACCAAAACTAATTAAAGCTGTGCAGATCTTTTCTAGTACAAACTCATTAACGACTTGATATAGTCCAGCTTCCATTTGTATAAATATTTTTGTATAAATCGCTTGAAACCGCTACCTTCTTCCAACATTAAAACTAACACGGATTACTAATTTTGTTATGTATGGTGTAACACAAAATGCTGTTTTTCGCCAACTTCTACACTTCTTTACAGCTTTTTTCGCTTCTGAATTTGAAAGAAAATAAACAGTAAATCTGAAAAATAACTTACTCACAGATGCCACATATTCCCTTTGGACATCACGTAAGACATGTTACCAAACATGATGCAAGGTGATTTAGTTCATCTTGAAATTGGGGTTTCAGCATTAAAGCAATTTGTACACCTTCCATTCCCAAAAATTTCCTCAGTTGGACCAATTTTCTTATTACTAGACCAAAATCACACCCAACAGGACAAAGAATTACAAAAAAATCACCCCTCTCCATGTTAAATTTGAACTTTAACCAGAATAATGTTGGATTGTTTAGTGCATAAATGTTGACAACATTCTCTTAGTGCTAAATGGCAGCCAAAGAGCAACAAAATACCTCATCTTCACTGATAAGATCTAACTTCTTCATCAAATACTTTTGGATGTAAGAAACAGGAACATTGCCATTCCTGCAACAGAATGAAACAGAACATGAATACCATTATCAATACTATCAAGGAAAATGTGCAAACACTCTCAAAACGCTAAACTAGTGTCTGTATCCTTCTATTAGCAGACAAATTAATCTTAATTTTAGTGCTCCGCTTTTTATAGGACCAAAAGTTCTTTTCACAAAATAATCCATTTTTTCCGGTTAATTAGTTTTCTACTTTTCCCTTGATCTTCCTATAGCCCCTCTCAATCTCAACAAAGACCAACCACACAATAGAAAATCAGAATGGATTGATGGTGGTACTTATAATACCAGAAGAAATTGGTAAAAGGTGGATTATTAGTATTACATCCCATTCAATATTTTCAAATTCAAAAACTGAGCCAATAATATGTTGAGAAGATTACCAATACATGGCAACATTGGTGAGATAGTGTAAGTAAGAAATTATATGTGAGATATTTCTAAAGAGGCAATACTTTAGTTGCTATATAACAAGTGAAGGGGAAAAAAGGATCGCCAAAGCCAAAAGCTCAATGGTAAAAAATGTTTGCAAAACAGCATGCAGATTACAGATATAAATCTTCAAGGTCGTCCAAGGAGCCTCAGAGACACAGATATGCCATCTCAGCTTATCCCTAACGGAACAAAGAGGAGAAGCTTATGGTGTTAGATGAGTGGCTCAGTCCCCCTTGATCAATTCTACCAAGAAGCACCATTGTAGTCACATCCATGTATCTTTTACCTTGCACTCAAGCAAATTTTGTAGGTTGAACAACAGGAATTTGACTTAACTAGTTGAATTATTACAGAACACTGTCCTAAACCACTTATGCTGAAAGGATAAACCAGCTTCTTAATGGTTCAAAAAAACCCTTCAAGTAAGGGAAAGATAGTACGAGTTAGCTTCGAATAGACAAACAGGATCAATCAATGGAACAGAAGATGCAGCCTAACTCATTGGAGAGAATCATCCTTGACAGGATGCGAAATTCCCTCATATGATATCATGCCACAAGAAAGAGGTCAACCAACCAATAGTAAATGAAGATGCGTTGGAGAAGACATCAAACAGTAGTGGTAAAAGACCACAATAAGCAGAAATAGACAATAATCAATTATCAGAGACCATGATAAAAGGAAATAGAAAGCTTGGAAGACATGTACAAATATTTACTAGCAACTAAATGTGTACTGGTTTATATGGTAGAAGATTCCAGGACCCTAAGTATGATGCAGGATTTTACTTCTTTAGACAACTTTAATCCCAACTCATCACAAGAGAACATATAAGACTGGATCATGACGCCTCTTAAAATCAGAACTCGTTAGTCCAATATTTAGCAATTAACAACGAGAAGTTAGTAACTTAGTATCAATTTTCAATTCAAAATGCTTGCAACTTTAATCTAGGTCATATCTTTCTTTCCTAGTCTTTGTGGTATACCTGCAATTTGATCCCACCTGATGCATGCCTACCATTCCAAAAAGAAGTGTGTAGATCAGCTTGTTAAATGCTCAAATTTAATAGATTAAATCAAATGCTAACCTAGTCCTCATGGCATATAAATATACTCAGTTTTAAAGCTTTCCCAATATAAATCTAGTCTTCGTACCCTTGGAACAAGACTACGTGCAGTTATTAGTTCTTATTCCTTTCTTGGGACTAGAAGAAATTGCTGATGTCATAGTTACAACCAAAAGATACCAGTAGTGTCTACATCCAAAATTCGAAAGAAGAAATGGTATGTGACCCCCTCTCCACCCTCTAACACATAGTTGGTGCAAAAGATATCAAGGCTTTAAGTATCTACTCCTGCAGCTATAGACATTCTTTGTGCAATTCATTCTGATAATTGGAGCATAACTAAGAATGCTAAGCCTAGACAGAAACAGCAACTCAAGATAACTTGTGTCACAACAAGTCTGGAATGATATCACAAATAAGCTTACTTTATTCTCAAGTAACCTGCAGAAATCTGGGGCAAGGGTGCATCTCCCTCCCTGAAAAAAAAATCGGAGTAGAAACATTTAGAAATACAACTTCTTTCTCAGAAAAGATATTTTTTTATAACAAAATCTACAAGATAAGGCAGATTCTTACTGATCTTCAGAGGCCACTAATGAGAACCAAATTGAATTATTCCTCCTTTCACATTTGGTAGCGATTGCATCCAGCACAGTTTGTGGTGAAATACTAAATCCTCCAGATTCTGATGCCTTCTTTTGGCTATTTCTCCGCATCTTTTTAGGTTTATCTGACCCCAAATGAGCAGGTCCACTGTTATTCTTGTTATCCTGGACTTTGGTTTCCAGTCCATGTTTTTTCACTTTAGTTTTACGGACATGAGCCTCATTGTCAAGGGAATGCAGATATTCAGATTTGGCAGTAGAACCTGGGGAAGTAAACTTCGCAGACTTGCTCCGGTTTGCTGCTTCCACCAAACAGTTCAAAGGTTTCCACAAATCAACTTGACCTTCCCACAGATCCATGCCATTCTCTGTTTCGTTATCAGGTGTGGGTTGGCCAAATAGCTCAGCACTGGAAGAATTCTGCAAAAGAGGCATGATTAAGTGTACTACCTATATACGCTTGACATCAACCACAAAAAAATATTTCAAGGAAGCCTAAGATGAGACGCCACACCACCATCAAAGAATATGACTTTACCTGCCTAATGTTCTGAGTGAACTTGTTCAAAGTCTCAGGTGAACTAGCGCTATCCAGCTGATCTTCTCCAGAACTTCCCTCTTTTCTGACAGGTTTCTCAACAGAAAATGTGGAGCCTCGTAATGCTTTTCTTGCCACTGATTTTGATCTTCTTCCTGTTGTTCCAGTCTGTGTTGATACTCTTGGAGTACTGACCACTAGTGATGATAATGATCTCTCTTTTCTCCTGATTGGAGGGGTAATTGAAGGCACAACTTCAGGTGCCTGCACCTTTTGCCTCTTGTAAGGGAATATCTTTGCTCTTATATCTTGCAGATTATGATCTGGCCTGAAATGAGAAGAAACAAGAAAGATAGATTAACATGTGGGGTATGTCAGATAATAAAATTATCACATATCAACTTTTAAAGTGAATACAAAATTTTGCCTTGTGTTCAGTTATAACCTGCTAGTAAATCTTAGCTACAAAGCACAAACATGGAAGAGTACTGTGATTTCTATTTTCTACTCAGTATTCTTAGTGAAATCCTAACTCAATTGTGACAATCCTGCTTAGCACTGCACTGTGATCTCTGCTCAGCATTCTTCAGATCCTAACTCATATATGTGAAATATCGATGAACGACTTGCAGTCTTGCTTATTTGGAGATGGACTATGTTAAGCAACTGTGGTGGGAAAAAGTGGGAAAATCTCAATACTTCATAGAAATTTCAACCTCCAGTGAGCATAATGTGTTGCTCTCAGATGCATCATTGATTGATGTTAGGTCAATAAAAAGTAAGAACCAGGAAAGTAAGAAGGTATTACATGCATAGCCAGGCATTTGGCCTCTCCAGCTAAATAATCATTAAGAATCTATACAGCTAAAATTTCCACCTGATATCTTTCACACAAGACGCCTCTAACTTCTTGTTGCATATCAAACTTCAGAGGGGCAACAGAACAAGGCAGTCTGGAGCTGAACATGCAGTACACTCCATGTTGTTAAATTTAATAGGCTAACAGAAGGAAGTTAATCAAAAGTGTGATATGTTGCTAGAGATTCCATGTGGTTGAACAAAACGCAAAAGCAAAACTAGAACTATCTACATCAATATGTCAATTGACACTGAAGCACACCTTTGGACATTCGGATTAACAGAAAAAGTGAAACGAGCAATAGTAAAAATATATGACCTCAATTTCTCTAATGGGACACATCCCAAGTCAATATTGCATATTGGACAGCATTCAGTTTCTTCATCAGAGAGTTTCTTATAGATGCATTTCCTGCAAACTGGATGAATTCCAGAAACAATATTAGCACAGAAGGAAAGCTCATCTTTTCTTGAAACAACAGAAGCTAGTGTCAGTATTGCCCAAACCAAAATGCAGAGATTTTCTGCTTAAGAGCAATGAAAAGAATGTAACGAAGTTTAATTCATTTATCAAAACATGTGGTTTCATACGACAATATACACTGTTTAGGGAAATCAAAGCATGCTCCTCGCAATATGATCACAAAAAAAATAATTTTCTAGAAATGATTCCATAAATGACACATACATTTCATTAGAATTTTCCAAATGAACCCTTTCAAGAGATATATATAGCATGAAAATAAGTCATGTGCCACTTGACCACATCTCATTGCAGCTCAATTATCCATGATGAACCAAGCATCTGCCTCTTCTGTGAGAAGAGCATCTAGCAAATATCTTGAACAGGAAATATCCATATAAATCAGAAACTGCTGATTTAACTCATCTACCACTGAGTAAATACGCGAAACTCATTTAAATGAAATCAATCAAACAGAAGACTCGTTCCACTTAGTTGATAAAACCAAGATATTGACCAAATGTGCAAACAACGATATAATCATTCAAATACTCTACAGACAAAGAGGTAATTGTATACACAATTCTCTTAAAACACCCAGATGTTGGAACGCATGAATCCAGCTAAACTGATACCAAATAAAGCAAACCCAGATCGAAAATTCAAAATTCGAATAGCTGACATTGACCAAAAGCCATAGAAACAGATAGAGAGAAAGGGACTTACACGTATGAAGACATTCAGAAATAGTAGTAGCATCTCTGAATAGCTTATGACAAAGAGGGCATGTAATGCATGCCGCAATTTTCTCCCTCTTCACTTTCACCACTTGATTCGGCATTTCCACTTTCCAACAGTCGAGTTCGAATGAAATCCAATTCAGCCCTCTTTATACCTTCAAACCCCACGTAACTCAATCAGTGCATGCTACAAACACCACATGAACACAACGGAATTTACGTCCATTGATTTCCCCCCTTTGTTTATATGCATTAAACCCAAAAACAGAACCAACAATCATCAAACAACACTCCCTCTGCAATTAATACAACACAACAGAAAAGGACAAGTGTGAATCTGGGTCAAAAAGATTGAAATTTGAGCAAATGGGTCGATTTGATTTGGGAAAAGGGAACGTGGGTCGGTGATAGATTGGGGGTAGAACAGGTAGGGTGGGTGGGGTGGCGGATTAAGGTCGTCGATGATCTTCTTCTTCTTCTTGTGGGTTTTTTTGGGAGTTGAAATCGAGAGAAAAGGCTTCGACTTCACAATGGCGTGAACTAAACAGAATACTTTTTCCCTACTTCTTTAATATTACGGACACACTGCTATATACTTATTACTACTACTCTTTTTCTATTTTTACGGTTTTACTTTTATAGTATTCTTTTAGGAAATTATATTATAAAAGTATTTTGTTCTAAAAAGAATAAGGTGCGTCGATTGTGAATAGAGATTAAAATAGGTGACGGCATATTAAATGAAAAATCTAATTATATGTCTGCATGTTAATTAGCTAAGGTTTCGGCAGGTTATAAATTTTTAAAGTTGTATTTTTGGAACTTAAATTTATATATTTCATTTGTGAAAAGAGAAATTGACTAAGACAAATAGATAATTGAAGATAGATTTTTCAAATTTGGTCAAATAGTAGCTAAAAATGTGATCCTTGTTTAAGAACTTTTTTTAAGAAAAAATATTAGATAATTATATTTGATTTGTTATAACTTTTATTTGAAGATACTTGAGTATATATATTTATATACCTTGTCCTTAACTCAGTAGATAAAATTATTTCAATATTTTAAATAAATCAAGGAAGATATATGATCTAATGAGAATTTTTTTGTTGAATACGACTGTGATACGTGTGAAAATATATATAATATATATAGAGGCAACATGATATATTTTTTTTATAAAAAAAAAAAAAAATCCTGAATTTTTTTTTACAAAAAAGAGGCTTAAACAAATACGTTTTCGAAAATCTTTTACAACATTTCAAAAAGATTGAAATGAACAAACGCCAAATATTTACTCATTCAAAAATGTAAAAAGATAAAATAAAATTATAAGACGAGCAGTTGATGATTTCAATAGGTTACCTAAAGTAGATAACTTTTAAGTATTTTTTAATTAGTACTTTATGTGGACATTTAATAATTTTTTTATAAGTATCGAAATATTGTAAATGAATCATACTTAGAATTAGGGTGTTCACAATTGAATAAAAATTGATCCAAATTGAAAAATCAAACCAAATCGATTAAATAAATTCATTTTATTTGGGTTTAGTTTAGTTTTATTTTTACATTTTTTAAAAATGGTAAACTTTGATTTGATTTTGATTTTGTTTCAAAAATCGAACGGAATCAATAAATTATATGCGTATATTTTATAATTCTACATACATAATATATATATTTTTATTTAAAAAAATTAATATCTTATATATATTTCAAAATTTAGTTATAATTTATTTATGAGGCAAAAACCTCAAGACGAAAGTATTTGTTTTATTGATTTTATGTAAATGATTATCTATAACAGCTCTTGGTGGGACAAGAAAAAGACAATAACATTTCTAGTCCCGCCAAAAATTATCATGCACTACATGAAACCAACAATATATTGACATCTTCTTTGGCTTTTTTAATAAATTGTAATTAAATTTTAATGATAATATATAAAAGTTATTAAAAAATTGTCGTAAAAATAATATTATATATATATATATATATATAAATAATTATAAAAAAATATGTATATAATTTGTCGGTTTGATTCTGTTATTTCTTAAAAAAATTAACAAAATCAAACTCAAACAAAACATTATTGATTTTTAAAATGTAAAATCAAATCAAACAAAACCCCAAAAAATTGATTTATTTAATCAATTTGGTTTTATTTTTGAGTTGATTCCTTTTTTACCCAAATTTTGAAGGGAAAATTGTATAAAATAGCAAACTATTAACTCAAATTAAATGTTATAACCACAGTTTCATTTAATTTTAATCTGTAGCAAACACTTGTCATTCGCCTCTCTCACTTTTATACAAACACGAATGTATAAATTGTGTTTGTGTTTGTATAATGCGAGAAAAAACTCTATATACACATACAAATACATATATTTTCGTCATATAGACTTATAATTATATACATACATATCTTTCTCTACCAGTCTTCTTTTGTCTTTCTCTCTTTCTCGCTTTATACAAACACAAATTATACAAATTACAATTTATAGTTTGTGTTGTATAAAGTGAGATATAGAGAGATTTGATATACAAATATTTTATTTCGATTTAATTGTATACAAATTCAACTTTTGTGCAGATATACAAACACAATCATTGATACATATACATAGTAATTACATATATACAATTATCTAACTGATATACAATCGTTGCGCTTTATACAAACGAATGTTTGTCTGCGATTTATACAAATCTGATACTCCATAACAAACATAAAATTTGTTATGGCGCGCAATTATACAAATTATAGCTATATTATACAAATATGATCTTTATGTTTGCTAAACCCAAAATTTACTCAATTTTGAACACCCCCAACTTAAAACATACATAAGAATGATGTATGAGTTTTTGAAATTATGTTAACTTTATATATATATATATATATATATATTATATTTGTGAAAATAAGTTGAAGATTTATGAACTAAAAAACTAATTCGAAATTCATGATTTAAAAAATATTTGAAGATAAATTTAATATATGGTCAAACATTAGCTAAGAATTCCCAGTCATCATTCAAGAAAAAAAAATTATATTTGATTTGTTATAGGTTTTTATTTGAAGATATAAGAGTATATAAACGTATATCTTGACCTTAATTCAATAGAAAAAATTACTCTATATTAAATATAACAAGAAAGATGTATGATTCAATAATGGGAAAAATTTGATTGAATACAATTATAAGGGCTATACATATAATAAAGTTTATGTGGCTTAAACACGTGTGAAAATATCTATAATATATATTAAGGTAACAAAATATATTAATTGAAAAAATATCTGAAATAGTTTCTTGAAAAAAAGATCTAAACATATACGTTTTTAAAGAACTTTTACGACATTTTAAAAATATTGTAATGAACAAACACTAAAATTTTCTCATTCAAAATGTAAAATGAAAATTATTAATGAATTTCAATAAGTTACCTAAAATGGACATTTTAAAGTGTTTTTTAGTTTATACTTAAAAAGAACATTTACTATTTTTCTATAAGTAGCGTGATATTCTAAATGAATCATACTTGAAATTTACATATATAAAAAAGAAGTAACAAGTGATTATAATCATCACAAAAGCATATTTTTTTTTAAAAAAAGGATAGTTAAAAATAAACAGTGAATATTGATTTGAATGGTGTGTTCTGATAAAATAAAGTGACAAAAAGTATATATGCACCAACAACTAATTAACATTGCTCTCTCAAGTGTTTAAAAAGACAAATCAATTACTTAAATTTCATATCAAATGGGTTGAAAAGAAATTAATCTGGTAAAACAAATTATTTTGAAATTAAATAAAGTAAAGTAAAAATAGAAATATTATTTATAAATTTATTTTTAAATAATAACTCGTTAAGTAATAGACTAAGCGAAAAATAAAATAAATGAATTAGATCGTATCTCTCGTTGGATGATAATCTTAATGGCTAGCTATTTTTCTATTTAGCATGATGTGGTAAATATATAGAGGATTACTAGATTGACTGGTGGTGCACCTATCATAAATTTATTAGAATGATTTCTTTGGAGCCTTTGGAGAAGTTTATTTGATTACTTTTTCTCAGTTAATAATTTTGATCTAAGAAAATCTTTCATCTGAATTTTTATTCACAAAGATATCAAAATAAAATAAAATCTCTTTCTTCAGTTAAATCTCATAGTTGAAAAAAAAAACATATACTTCAAACACAAACTTTTAAATTATCACATATATTCAACGTACAAATCAGCATCTCGAACATGATAATTTCATATAGAATTTTTCATAGAAAGCATACCTGGTGATAAGAACTTAGCAAAATCCTTAGTTGAAAATTTGGTCACCACCTTGCCCTGGCCGCCGTTAGTGATGAAAAAATGAAAAGAATATGTTGTAACCCTAATGAAGAAGTAAGGATCAATTTATAGAAGCCTGAGCTTAATCAGGTACATCCATCAAGTAACTGATGATGGACGTACCTGATGTAAGAGATGATATTTATTTTTTATTAAAAAATAATTATGAGCTTTAAATATATTAATTGAGTCACACATAAATTAATAAACAGTCTAACATTCTCTCTTAGGCCCATTGACATCATAACACCAATATTTAATGGTAACTTACAAAACTTTCACTAGTTTAGAAACTAATTACTATATACACGCTAGTTTGCAATTTATGAATCTTCCAGATTTTGGTGTGTCCAAATATATCTATCTCAAAATGCATAGGGTCTTACGTATAATTTGTTTTAGGTATAGTGTATCCAAGTGAAATCACATGTATCGAGACACGTAGACAAATCTCACTCACCTCTCTCTCATCTCGTTCACGTATCTAGTATCCTGGATACATGCGAATCACACCAAATATATCTATCTAGTATACATCTAGTGTGATTCACATGTATATGAGATACAAGACAAATCTCGCTCGTTTGCCTCTTATTTTTGCTCGCCTTTCTCCCTATTTCAGTGTATCTGATAGCAAAAAACATGTATCAAAATTGTATTTGACTTAAAAACGTGGTATGAAATTATTAATCAGTAAAATAAATATCATTATTTCAAATTATTGAAATATTTAATAAGTATGATGTGAATGTTTGTACAATTAGATAGTTTCTATAATAAGACATCACAAACTCTACCATCAAGAAATTCGTGAAATTTCAGTTAATTGTGTCGAGGAAAATCTATCAAATTTAGATATACAGACAGAATTTTTTAAAAAATATATCATATAGCAGATAGGGAAGTTCTTTGTCCTAAGAAGTTTTAGTAACCAGCTAATTAAAATTATGTGTTGCTCACCATTACTCAAAAGTAAAGAATGATGTTGAACTATCTTTAAAATTTTGCAATACAGTATAATTTGTATAATTTACATAAATTTTATAGTGTTAAGAGTTAAATACATTATTTATCTACTATTTTTCAAATTACAAGAATCTTATAAAATTTATTAGATTCCGAATACATCAGCAAACCTCCAAATACATAAGGGAGGGTTGTATCCAAAAAGGGAGTGATGTATCAAAGAGGGAATAGGACATCTGGATATATAAGAGAGGGATGTATCATAGAAGGGAGGGATGTATCAGAGAGGGGATAGGACATCCGGATATATAGGGGAGGGATGTATCCGAGAGGGAAATGATGTATCAGAGAGGGGATATGACATTCGGATATATAGGGGAGGGATGTATCAGAGAGGGAAAGGATGTCTCCGAGAGGAGAGAGGTGTATCAAAGAGGGAGATAAAAATGTATCAACGAGAGAGGAGTGATGTATCAGAGATGGAGATATGAATGTATCAGCGAGAAAGGAGTAATGTATCCAAGAGGGGATTTTGAATTTTTTTAAATGATAGAAAATTTTAGAGATTATGATAAAATAAAATGTCTATCTAGGTAAATTTTTCAAGTGATTATATATTTTCCATTATATAATGCTCAACTCATGTTTCTAATTATTCTTCATTACATAGATGTATTGTGCCAGAATTTGTCGCTCAAATTAAACGATGCGATTATTATTATTAATATAAAAGTTTCAGTATCGCGCAAATAAAAATAACAATAGTACTCAAAGTCACGATTAACAACTCAGTGCAAAACATAGTTTCACATACTTTTCAATATTCTCCATTTTCTACATGTGAATTTAGTTTTTCTCATTGAAATTTATTTTTTGTTTTAATAAATTACCTAGGATAATTCAAGCAACTTATTTTTCTTCTTTTCGTTATTAGTATACGTTTATGCTCAATAATCGTCATATATTAATAATGGAAAATGAGAGTACTCATATTGGTCTATAGAACTCTCACTGATTTTAAAACTGTTATCATGAGAATATTCGGAAACAAAGGAAATGTCAAACCTTCTTATGACAACGTTGTTTATTTAATAACTTTTAGGTATAAAAGCAAAATATTATTATAGAAAATATCGATTGTTATTGAGAGACAAATTTAATATATATATATATATATATATATATATAATAAGGCAGGACACTTGGCATATTACTGTTGGGTAGTAAGAGATGAGGTGCAATCTAAGTAATCGATGTTGTGTGAACAAAAATGTAGGTGTGTGTTTGTAGCAGATGTTGTACTAGTATTGAAGATAAAGAAGCTCTCTGATTTCTCATTTCTGACTGAAAAAAAAAAACAAAACACAATGGCTACCAGCATCACTGCTTGTACCACAACCTCTTTAGTCGCCCGTGCGGCCCTCGTGCACAAGCCATCTCTATCCCGCCCCTCTTTTGTTCTTGGTACGTTCATTTTTATACCATCAAATTAACTGAAAAATAACGTTATGTGATTGTCTAGTAATAATATGAAGAACTAGTGATTTGATCATTTTCTTGAATTTGTTCTTGACCTATGATATTTTAGTTGAGTTTTCTTAGATATAATGGGTATCATGATATGATCAATGACTTAATTCATTCACGGCATCACTTGGAATGTTTAGTTAAACCTTCATTTTGAAAAGGAAATCGAATTATCCTATTTAATATTCTTTTCTTAAATTAAGATATCATCGTATTGATAAGTATAATTAATTGGAAGGAATGCATTAATTTTGTGATTCCCACTTTAATTCTCTAGTTATACTGACTTATAGATGCACGTATCTTTATGAAGGTTGAAATTCATGACAAGACAAGAGTAATATGAAAATTGGAACTCTGCCGAACGTGTACCTTGATTTCTATCTCTAGCATACACATGTTACTGTGTAGACTTGATCCTTAAAACATAATATTACATTATGTTAAAGAGTATGTTCGAATTGACTTAACATAATATATCACATTTTTGGTTTTACAGGGTTGCCAACCATGAGGAAGAATATGGGAAAGGTGAAATGTTCAATGGAAAGAGAAGAGTCAAAATTAGGAATATGTGGATCATTAGTGGCAGCAGCATGTGCAGCAACAATAGCAATTAGCCCAACAGCAATGGCTTTAGTGGATGAAAGAATGAGCACAGAAGGAACTGGGCTTCCATTTGGGCTCAGTAATAATCTTCTTGGTTGGATCCTTTTTGGAATCTTCGGTTTGATTTGGTCTCTTTACACTGTTTACACTTCTAGCCTTGATGAGGATGAAGATTCTGCAATGTCCCTTTAAATTTTGACCTTCATTCTCTAAAATAATTATGACTAATTAATTGTATCTATCATTTGCTCTCTTCTTCACTTGCTAATTGTACTATATATTCGTTTTTTTCAATTCTATAAAGAGTAAATTAAACTAAACACTTGTATAATACGACTCAACTGTAGATATATCTATTGAATATTCGTCTAGCTAATTATCATTTATTTTACGTTAAAAAATTTCAAGGACGTTAACTAGTCTGAATTTGGTCAAAGATTTCAGTGTTATATTTACCTTCCAATAATAATACTTTTAACGATAATATTAAGATTCAACTAAACATAATTACAAATAAATTTATGTTGTGTTTACCAAATAATACTCGTCGATCATTTCATATGTTTTGATATATATATATATATATATATATATATATATATATACACACATGTACCGAATGAAAAAAAAAAACACAATATACACATGCACTACAATAAAGGACTAAAGCATTAAATCAATAAAATTATTCCCATCCAAATTACCATATGATATTCCCTTTTCGCAGAAAAGCTGTCGCTTTAGTTTATTTCACTTTTATTAAGTAAAAAATAAATATGATGTATAATTTATTAAGTTATTATTTTTATGTTTATTGAGAATTGAGTACTACTTAAGAATGAGTAGTTTTTTTTTTCTTCTTAAGATAAGAATAGAGTTAGAAACAAATACTACTAATTTTGTCTTAAATTTAAAAAATGAAACTTATTTTGGGCTTCTTTTTTGCTAAGATGACACTTACATATTTAGAGATGGAGTTTTATTTTTCTTCAACTCCTTTTAAAAACTCACATGTTCAGTAGTTAGAAGTTGTAAAAATAAGGATTCTAAGATAAATATGTAGGCATATTAGGAAAGATAAAATCAGAAATAAAAGATATTCAGGATAAGATGGAGTGATCTCATTAGAGGATAGAATGAGGAAGACGAGACTAAGGTGGTCCATAAGTGAAGAAGCGCGAATGTCTCGGTGTGGAGGTATGAAAGGTTAACTTAGATGAATTTTATTAGAGGAAAAAGTAGATCAAATATGTATCCGAGAGAGATGATTAAATAGAATATGACGCAACTCTAACTGAACAAAAGAAATGACCGCATGCATAGCTTCTCCTTTCGTATCAATAATACTCCGTAGTAATTTGTACTCTACGAGATGCTCTTGTCATTTACATTTTTATTACTTATGTTATTTTTTCTCATACTTGGATTAATTTACTATTTTGTTGTAATCATTATTCATTTATTTTCATCTGACTCCATTTATGAAATTACGTGAAATTGGAATATGTTGTTCTTCTTCCCTTTAAAAGACGTAGTAGTACATAATAGAATTGCAGCCTATAAAAACACCTATTTTGTATTAAAATGAAAAAAAATTAGGCGGAGGCGCCAAACTACAGAAAACTCCCGCGCCATTCTCCCACCTTTTATTTTAACTCATCTCTAACCTCAATTTTACCTACACATTGCACTGTCGCCGCCGGGAAGATTCCGATTAACAATGGCGGATCCTAAATTTATACATATATAACTCTTAAAAAAATCTGATCGGAAGAACTCACATAACGACTGTACATTTTTTTTGGGTCCGCCAATCGCCGGAGAACTCGAGATGCAGGGCCGGCATCCACATCCCCACACCACCACTCCTATCTCCGAAGTTATTCTTCCAAAACGTGGCAAGAAGCGGGGTAGCTACAGTTGTGGCCGATGCGGTGTACCGAAAAAAGGCCATGTTTGCAATTTCCCTAAGAACCTTAATCCGATTGATAATCCCAGTCCCAATCCCGATTCGTCACTCTTAGCTTCCCCACCCTCCGTTGTTCGTCCTCAGCCGCCACCTCCCATGCCGCAACGCCATGTACTCCCACAGCTCCGGCGAGCACTTTCATTTGATGACGTTGATGTTAATGATTCACCTGGATCTGATGACGATGGGGAGTTCTCCGATTTGGATAACGAATCGGATCTAGTTGGGTCCGGATCGGGGATAGGAGCGTTGCCTTCGAGTTGTTTATGGGAAGTGTTTAAGAGATTACCGCCTCCGGCGTTGCTTTCATCGGCGAGGGTTTGTAAGGGGTGGTCGGAAACTTCTAGAAGGATCTGGAAATCTGCTGTGGAGCTTAGACTTAGGGTTCCCGTAAATGCCCAGATTGGGCTTGTCGGGTCGGTGTTAAAGAAATGTCCAGGGCTTGTTAAGCTTTCTCTAAGATTGGAAAGGTTAGTCCTATTCAGGAACTAAACATAAAGGACTAAACTTTTCTATCTAACAAGGAAAATAAAAGAACATAAAAAGAAAAAATTGTAACTTGTTAACATTTGATAATTTACAATGAGATTGCCTCGTCATTACTTATGATCAAACTTAAATTATCGTTAAAAATTGTAATAAGTATACGATGCAAGGTTTATCCGGGCTACTTGGCTGGATGTGAGGAAAATGATAGTGTACTAAGCAGTGATAGAATGTTCAATTGAACGATTATTGCTGACAGTGTATATATTGCAGTGACATTGATGCAACCATGTTGGCCTGCATTGCATTTTCCTGTCCTAAACTGGATTCAATGGAGATACTTATGTGTAATTCAGTCAATCGGATCACTGGGTATGCTTTAGATATCTAATTTGCAGTACACTTACATATATGTATGTTATCTTAGGATTTTCTTGTTGTTCTCTCTAGTTAGTTTTGTGCAGTTATGTTATCTGCTATCTTCACATCACCCACCACAAATCAGTATTGCATCATAAGCAGTAGTTTTTATGATTTCCATGCCCAAGAGAAACTTACTGTTCTTTGATCACACTCAGAATATATGCTTTGTTTATATGCCTAGATGGCAGATGCAGATGTAAAACATTCATGATTTCTCTAGGTTTCTTTTTGCCATAAGTCTTGTAGCCAATGGAGAAATACATTGAGTTCGATCAACTCTGAGTTTGGGAGGGAGGAGGAGTAAGTTAGGTAAAAACTTCATAAATCATAGTTGCAGGAATCTTGGGAATTAATGTAATGCAGTAACCCCCCACCCCCCAATAGTCACTTATGTTTCTTTTTTGCTTGCCAAAGGAGAAATACATTGAGTTCAATCAACTCATGTTAGGTAAAAACTTGTCTGTAAATCATAGTTGCAGGAATCTTGGGAATTAATGTAATGCAGTAATTCTTCATATATGTTTTTCCATCATAGTCATTTATTTGGCACCTGAATCGGAGGTGTTGGTAATTTCATGTAACTTTGTTAAAGTCCCCTAACTGGTTTGCAGATGTGGCCTATTCTAATATTCTGTAATATAGGTTCACATGTTAGTTGCTGAAATGAATGCAATCTCTACATATTGCAGGGATGAGTTGGGTCGTTTTGTTGCTGAGAAAAGATGTCTTACTAATCTCAAGATGGAAGGTTGCTCTAATCTTGGGGGTTTTACTCTTTGCTCAACCAGTCTTTCAACTCTTTCACTTTCAGATCTCTATTGTCATGCTAAGATGGTATGTAGTGTATGATGTTCTGCTCCTTTTTTTCTGGGGTGCAAGCAAACTTATATCTGAAGTGTGTTTACCCCTGTAGGTCTTCAACTGCCCCAACTTGAAGGATGTTTCCCTGGATTTTTCTCACCAAGAAAATGATACCACCGATCTTACTCTCATGGTCGATGGTCTTGGAAGGAGCTGCCCGAGACTCCAGAACATTCATATTGCCTCCATGCGCCTAACACATGCTGTTGTGCTTGCTTTAACAGCAGCAAATCTAAGGTTTGCAATGTTCATCCAATTTGATCATTTTATGAATTTCTCTTTACCTTTTTTCCTTTAATAAAGCTTGTAATTGTTTTTTACTGCCTTTAACCTCAGGGGTTACGGATGCTCTCTCTTGTACTGGGTTCAGAAATAACTGATGCATCTGTTGCAGCTATCGCTTCAAGCTACTCAAGCCTTGAGTTGCTTGATTTGAGTGGGTATGTTTCCCTTCCACCCCTTTCTTTTTGTGGTTCCTCCACTCTGTGGGTGATAACAAATAACTGAATGATGGGTAATCAACACACTACTGTCTTTCACTTCTACTTATCATATTCTTTCTAAGCACATCCGAAGATCCACAAAAATTAGTACAGCCCTTTAAAATAAAGCAAAGCAGAGCTTATGGTTTATCGAAACCTGCATCTTGATTATTGTATTTTTTGAAAGTAGCTAATTTAGTGGAACGAATCTTGATTATTGTATTCTCTTGATGTTTGTTGTCGCAGGTCCAGCATTAGTGATAGTGGCATTGGAATGATATGCAACATATTTCCTGAGACGCTGTCTAAACTTCTCCTTGCTCTTTGTCCAAATATCACTTCAAGTAATATTCAGATCTGTTTCTGTGATTATCCAACCCAGCAACCTGTTGTTCACTAATTTGTGTTGGATTTTCTTAGGTGGCATTCAATTTGCTGCAGCTCAGTTGCCTAATCTAGAGCTCATGGACTGTGGTATGACCATATCTGATCCTGATTTAGACAATCCAACAACTCAGGAAAATAATGACCTCCAGTTACAAAGAACTCCCAATAGTAAACAGCACCTTATATATCAAAAACTGATTATCAAGCATACCTGCTTGAAGAAACTCAGCTTATGGGGCTGCTCTGGCTTAGATGTGAGAATTCTTCATTCAATTACTTAAAAATTTCCTCATTGAATTGCAGGTTATACCTGACCAAAATTTTGATGCAGGCGTTATATCTGAATTGCCCAGAACTGAACGATTTGAACCTGAACTCCTGTACAAACCTGAATCCAGGTCTGGTCTTTGATGTTCCTCTTTAGTGTTTGAGCTTTAGGAAAATGGAGCATTTTCTTTATAATTGACTTACATAAAAATTTTACCTTACAGAAAGATTGCTGCTCCAGTGCCCCAATTTGGAATGTGTTCATGCATTAGGTTGCCAGGACGCATTGGTTGGAACCCTTAAGAATCAGGTAAGCCAGCTGCATTTTTGCCATATTCTGAAATTCCTCTTCAGTTTAGCTTCTCCCATAGATGTGTGGCCTTTGTTAATGTTTAACAGATGAACAAAACACAAAGAAAAGGAAAATTAGTCTATTAAAGTCTGGAATTGGTATTGAGTGAGCTGTTTAAATACAATTAAATCCTAACAGAATTGCAGTAAAATCTGAAACAGAAACTTACTAATAAACAGGAATTCAACCAACAGCCACATGCCTTAAGACTAGGAAATCCACAACTAAAAAATCTTAAGACTAGGACTTTCACAACTGAAAACTCTCTGGAAAAATCTAAGATTTCTTCTGCAATTAAAAAAACATTAGCAGCTCCATCATCATGCCAACTTAGCAAGTTTATCTAACAACATACTAGTGTAATCTCACAAGAGGGGTCTAGGTATGGTAACATGTATGCAAATCATATCCCTACCTTTGTAGGGTAGAGAGGCTGTTTCCGAAAGTAATTTGTTATTTAATTCTCTTTTTTTTTTTTGTTCCATGCAGGTATGCACAGATTTTATGGCTGTGGAAGATCATTCTCATTGCAAACGTCTTCCTGATGGCTCTAAAAGGATCAAGGTTCCGGATTTATTCAGCCCACAGGTAATACCATAAAGTGAAATTATGTATACAAAATTATTTCTCTTTCTAATTTTAAGATACATACATTCAAAGAGTGACATGGTTTACTTATTTTGCAGCCAACTGATAAGAAGAATAAGAGGATATCGAAGCGCTGCTGTACTGTGCTTGTAAACTAGTCCAGTGCATGTCCTCCTAATTCCTATTGGCATTGTTAGTGTACTATTGTGAGCCATAATTAGAGAATAAATTATAAAACAAATTCCGGTGATATCAATATAGGTAAGCAAAAGAAACTGCTCGAACTGTATTCCCCTTTAATAATAAACAAAACTTGCCATTTTGAAACTTATGATAAAAAGAAGTCATATTTTGACAAAAAAAAGAAGAAGCTTTCTTTTCTTTTCTTCAAATGGAAATCAAAATGAATAGGTAGTTAGAGTGAATGAGTGAGTGCATTTTCATCTTGATATAAGATAACTCATTTTAGAATGTTGCATGCATCTTAAGTTGTCATGACTTAATTAGCCCTTGGATGGTTTCAAATTTTTTGAGTTAAACAAATATTGATTTTCGATTTGCCCATGCAACAACGTTGGTCAAGTTCAAGAAAATCGTTTTAGTGAGTAAGAATGGCTTCTTCTAATAAAAAAAAATGAATCAGTTGCGTACACAAAACATCTTGCTTTGATGTAGGGTTTTGGGAAGGACTGCAACACAAATTATTGTTGCTCCAAGGCTTTCTCTAATCAAAAAGTTATTCTCCCTCTTTGTCCTACTAGGAAAATTTTAGTTAAATTGTTTCGTAAGATAACATATGAATTAGAAAGAAAATGTTGTACATAAAAGAAAATTAAGGGAGTACCTGAATATCTGGAGGCTCAAATGATTTATAATATATTTCAAATAAAATAAATTGGATAAAAGTTGATGTATAAATGGTGGAAATGAACATGGAGGGGTATAAGATGGGCAATGGAAGGAACAGATGAAGATGATAATGGGCCATTGTACATGCTACATAACAAGAATGCCCAGAACTCAGTCACACGTGCTGCCATGTACATATCTCACATTTATTACTTCAACCTTCTTAGATCGTCATATATATATATCCACACTTCAATTAACAGATTTAAACGTATAATGAGGGTGTTAGAATTTCCTACATTGGTTTCAATGGGAGATTCAATCTAGTTTTATATATATGATATTTAACGTTCCTCTCACTTCAGTAAGTTTTTAAAATTAAGCTATTTTCAAAATTTATTATTTATCATAACCAATCCATTTTAATCATTGATTAATTATTCGATATTAGATGCCACTCCCATTGCCCAATGATGGACTTCATGTTATATTGTCTGTAGTTTGAGCATGCAAAGGTAATTGGGTCGATAAATTTTGGAAGATGAAAAAGTAATTATTTCACAATCATGTCAATTTGTACATAAACACATAACATGCATGGTGTTGACACTTTCCAAAAACATGGCTTCTCTGTTTTATTGTTTGGTTGTGTCCAACTTGTGGGCGTGCGTGCGTGTTTCTCTTAATGAACTCAACCCCACACAAAAGCCTTCAATATATTTATGTGGACTTTAGGGAACTCTAAATATATCTATAATGCTTTGCTGGATATCTATCAGAATTGTCTAATTGTTTTTCTTCTCGACTTTATAATTTAATTGACATCTTATATTAACATATTATGTAAAAAAATCAACTAAAGAGCTATCAAAAACAAAAAAGAATTCATTTCTAAAAACTAACTTTAAAAAAAGAAAGAAAAGTAAGACGAATACAGGGAAATACCGTTTCACAAAAAAGAAAGGAAGGATATGACGTACGGTCAAATCTGTCTTACATAGTACAGCTAATGTTAAGAGTCAAAGGGAAAATGAGGTGAGAATGTATTCAAAGCTACAGCTATTTTTATTTTTATTTTATTTTTTTTGCTTAAAATCAGCTGTACGTATATATATATATATGGAGTAGGGACTAGCAATTCATGCCATGTAAATGACACACACAAAAAATTGTCGATAATATGTGGATGAAATTGACTCAATATTTTTTTTATATATAAATATAATATATTGTGTGTAAATATGACTCCTCCTTCTTTTTCGTTATTATTCTTCACCAGTTACTTTCGTTATCTATTTGTTCTAAGACAAACTTATTAAAAAGAAAGTTTGGTTTCCCCTTTTTAAAAGTTAAGCAATTTGACGAGAATGAGGGTCTTTTTATAGAAAAGAAATAATAACGAGAGCTTAAGGGTTACACTATAATATTATTATTATTATCGTATTATATATAGTTATATTAGCAGGAATATTTGTTAAATTGCAAACAACGGCTGCTAGCAGTTTAATGAGCGTTTTAGTCCGTTCACTACAATATAATATTACTTTTAATTACCATATAATATGATGAACTAATCCCATGGTTTTGGCTAATTATTATACTATCTAGAAAACCGTGGGCAAGAAAATATAATAAAACTTGAGTTCATGTTCATAGAAACCTTAGTACAGTTTATCTACTAATCACTACTTTATTTCCCCTTTATTTAAAGTATATAATTAAAATTAAAGTAGATGACGAGGGAAGATTAATTAAGCAAAGGGAAGTAAAGGAATAAAGTTGATTAGGAAAAAAATTAAAGTGCTTCATCCAACAGAGTATGGTGGGGTATTAATTGTTTTGTTCACTTGACATCTTTTGTTGACTAAAACGAATTCATTCAAAGTTTATAACAAAAATTTAGCTTAAACTCTTAAATGTTATTCATTGATCTCCAATATATAACTTAAAAACTCTTTCTAAAACTAACACGCACAATTGTCTATATTTTGTGTTGCAATTACATATGCCTCCATCCTTCAATTTATTTTATTTTTATAGAGTGGTTGAACACATGATTTTTTATTGAACATTTCAATTTATAATTTTGAAAAGGTCTATAAATGTGCTTTCAAACATCCATCACATTATATGTAAGTTGGGTGATATTGTAGTCCTAAAACAAATATAAGTAATATTACTAGGTAATTTCCCAAATATGAGTGACTGTCTAGGGAAATTACTCATAAATGCCATTATTATATTTAGAATATTTAAAATGTTTACTGATATTCATGTCGAACTTAAATATTTAGCGATAGTTATGTCAAAGTGAGAATTACAAATATTAGTAAAACTGCTTTAAAATGTGATATCAAACAAACATATATCGTGAGATTAGTTATTCCCGTAAAGTTTTAGATACGAATTTAAATTAGTCAAGATGAAAACAAACTAGTTGAAGGTGTGGTCCCTCATTAGCCGACAATATGTAGAGGCACCTCACATGGGGGTTTGACCGAGCAGCCCCCAAAGTAGATTTCCACATGATCCAACGCTCCAGAATCATCAAATCAGGAACGTCCATTTTAGTGGACCAGGTACCTTAAATAACTCAAGTTGTCGGTGTCTGCTCCGTGTTCCCTTCTCTCACTTCAGTGGACTTAAATGATGTCCCTCACACCACCGACAAAGGTAGAACAACCCGTGTTCAATAGATTCATCTACGCTTCAAACGCGCGTGTACAACACACGTCTCTTAAATTTCGCAGTTATCTTATAATTTTGCTTTAAATTTTGTAAACACTTTAACTAACTATCTACCACTTATTTCAATGATGTAAGGTCATTTGAAGTAGATTCTTGTAAAAAAAAATGTGGGAGTATATATGAAAGTTTGAATACTCGATAGCTCCTTAATATATACTATCGATAAATCTTATTTAGATACTTAAATTATGATATATTTTTAATTGTGTTGAACCTATATTAGAATATGTTTGTATTCAATATTTTTGACTCATATTTTAGAAACACTGATGCGCATATATATTCACAGGTACATATTAAGTAGATACGTTAATTAATAAAATATGTCAACCTCTCAACATCAATTAAAAATATATTTGAAATTTTACATTTATTGAAACTAATGCATATACAATTATTAAGAAGATAATATATATTACTCATAATTGACTTATCTAGGTAGTATCACTTGAGAAGATACATATTTTCTAGGGAAATTGTATAAAATGTCAAATTATTAATTTAAATTAAATGATATAGATATAGTTTCTTTTATTTGTAATTCGTAGCAAATATTTCATATTTTTTGTCATCCCATTTGTATACCGAAATATACAAATAAACTGATATATACAAATGCAGGATCCATTTGTATACCAAAATATACAAATAGACCCAAATACAGATTTTTTATGTATATGTATACCGAAATATACAAATTAATAGTCATAGCAAACATAAAATTTGCTATAGAGCGCAATTATACAAACTATAGCTATAACATACAAATATAATTTTTATGTTTGCTACATGTAAAAGTTGGCTCTACATTTTATCATATGTCTAGATAATCCATTATATTTTTTAGTAGGCGTTTGGCCATGCGATATCATATCACGATATGATGTCGTGAGATGAAATCAGCGTTTGGACATGCGATTTTACGCTGATTTCATCTCACGATTTCATATCATGAGAGGTGATATCATATTCTCCAAAAACCATGATATGGAATCACCATGTGATTTCATATCATGATTTGAGATATTTTAATACAATAATTGATCCATGAGTTTATATTTTGTTAAAACAACCCCACATTTATATCTACTAACCATTTGTTTCATATGTAAATGAAATTTATAATGACATCATTACTTTTTAAAATTTATTATTCTCACCAATATAAAATTTATTATCACTTTAAATTTGGTGAATATAAATGATAAAGTAGAAATTCATTTGGTGAATATAAATGAGAACAAAGGGAGTAATACTTTTTTTATTTTTCATAATAAAAAAAAACGTCTTAATCTTATGACTAAACATAATATTGATAAAAGACAATTTTCATTGGCGGTGCCGCACTTTCTTAATCTTAGTATTTGCAAAATGTTCGTTCACATGATTGAAGGATATCAAGTCCAATTGATTGAGGACTTAGGAAAATTTGATCAATTAGTTATTAATATTTAGTCAAGTGGACTAGTTATAATTTTTTTGATTAAATTTTATTAGAAGTGTTTTTGACTCAAACTTGTGGTAACTTTTTAAAATTTCGTTATTCAATAATATTTAACTATTGATTTTTCTTGTAAATAGTTAGAAGTTAGTGATGTTTGTTAATTTTTATCTTAGTGCATTTAACTTCTAAGTTAATATTTACTCA